CAGAGGTATTGCAGGAAAGCCTGGGCTGGGCTCTGAGGTGCGGACGCCCCTGTCTTCTCCAACAGGACGAGAAGCAGTCCGCCACCACGCTGCTCGTGGGACCGCGGCATGGAATCAGCCACGTGATCGACCTGAAGACCAACCTCACCACGGTCCTGGCCGAGTTCAGCAGGGTGGCCAAGGTCCAGCTCTTCCGAGAGAACCAGGGGGTGGCCCGCGTGGAAGTCAGCATCCTGGAGGGGAAGGTAGAGTCCGGACAGGCCCTGGGGCCGTTCACACTGCATCGCAGGCTGGGAGGCCCAGCAGCTCCTGGGGAGAAACCAAATCCAGGGACTTTCGGACACCCTGGCGTGAGAATCTGAATCCCGCTAGCATGCAGTTATTTTCCGATGAGAACACATCTTATTTTCCAAAAAAGAGATCAAATAGCAAATACCCTCTGTCGACTTCCTGATGAGAGAGGGGATTTGTCGGGGCTCAGGAATGATGCTGTTGTTAGCTCACTGGCGTCACCAGAAGTACTCTGCTGGGAGGCACGGCCCTAATTAGTATTTTCATCAGGCTTTTCCACTAAAGTCAAGTGATGGTCTCAGCAGTGGAAACGAAACCTGCTTGGACGCAGGAGGTGACGGCATTTTTCGTTATAAACATTTTGGCCCGTTGAAAAACAAAAAACACATTCACAAAAATAATTAGACTATTTCACCTCTGCAGTCGCTCTCTCGTGTGTACCTTGTAGCTGTTTTTATCATAGGAAGGAGGAGGTGAGCCTCTAAAACATGCTGTTAGGTCAGCTTTCAGACGCAAAATGTGCAGCACTGAGGTCAGAGTGTGTCCAGTGTCCATACATGTGCAACAAGGAAATGTCTGTGAGAGAACTGTCATCGTGCACACAACCCCGGCAGCCAGTGCTGACCCACACACACACAGCTGACTCCTGTCCTGACTCTTCTTCCTCCTCAGCCTCTAGTGCTGCTCATGGAGTGGCCAGACGCCATGAACTTCGCCTGCCTCATCTCGGGCTATTACAAGCTCTTTGTGGACCCCAAGAAGACCATTTTCTGCCGGACACCTGGTCAGTCCCACATGATCAAGGCAGGTATGTTAGTGAGTAGCTCTTCTGTTTACAGTGCTGGGCCTGAGAGAGGAGGGTCATGTCAGGCTCAGTGATATCTCACCTCGGACGTGTGGTGCTGTGTGTTCAATTGTACGCTGCTCAGCCAGCATCAGCTAAACCTAACGGCTTCATTCAGGTGTGCAGGGGTTTTAGTCAAGACTGTATCTTGCATGCGATGAGAAGCACAGTCTGTGACCTGATAACACCCAGCAGCCACGCGATCGTGTAGCACTTTGACAGAAGTGCCTCGAGCCCTCAGAGCTGCAGCAGCTACAGCCTCTCTTCCAGATGAATCCCTGCGGAATACTTTGGACAGTGCTTCCAAAACCTGGTCCTGGAGGAACCCTGAGCCCTTTTGTCTTCCAGTTCCAACCGAGTTCGTGTTCCATTCAGTCCAACTCTGTTCTTAATTAATTAAGATGTTTGATCTCCAGTTAATTGTTAAGAAGCTTCTTGGAAGCTGCATGGGGTTAGTAATTAGCATTGAATCAGAGACAGTTGCTGGTTTTCACACCTCCCTTCATTCGAGCATGTAAAGGGTGCTCCAGGAGCACAGCCAGGTCCCACTGCAGTGGCCATGCATGCCAGATCTTAACATGTGACAGCTGACCTGGATTTATAAGTTAGGGGTTATGTCACCACAATGGCTACCTGGGCTCCATCTGGCTGGACGGTCATCTGCTTCTTCGCACGGGGAAAGAATAACCATTAGCCACCATTGACTCATGCTAAACCAGTCACCCTGGAAACGTCATCCCATATTTACGCACTCGTCTTCTGTGCCTCTGCCAAGCCCACGCCTCCCATCTCCATCCCAAGTCAGCTTCGTTTGCCAAAGGTACAGATTCTTGCTTACTTTTATGTCCTGTGCTGAAAAATGCAACATTCCCTAAACCGAGGGCATGGTTCACATCTCCCCAAGCCAAGCCATCTTACTGGTCGCTTCATGCATCTTCGCTTGTCCTGAAAGGTCTCTCGATCTCCATCTCTCTGTATTTCTCTCTTGCTCTCCCTCGCCACGACTGAAGTTACTGCAGTCATTCTCAAACTATGTCATGGGCAGCAGGACAGCTCGCCTCCATGTGACCTACAACCTCTGCATCCCTGCTTGTCAGAAGTAACACCTCCGTGCCTGCAAGCGTCATCCCAAACCATTTCGCCAAGCTGTCCGGCAATAATCGGTTCTGGCCCAGCACCATTGCTTGGTTCTTTAAGGCACCATTGGCCCTGATAAAAGGGCAGCGTCCAGGATTGTGTCATGCCCATCTCATCGGACAGAGATCTCAGGACCCATCCATAGTGCATCACTGGCAGGTCTGTCTCTCTTGCATCAGGTACAGAATCAGACAAAACACTGCAGCTCCTGCCATCCGGACATCCTCCATCCAACCATCACTTATCTCACCACCTTTCAGCTCTTCTGATAATTATCTCTTTAGATTACAGAAGTGCCCATCCTATCCCAAGACCAGTGCCCTCCATCACGGGGGCCATTAGGCTGGAAGACGCAGCGATCAGAGAAGAGCTGCCCAGAGACACAGCCCCAAGGTCAGCTGCTCAGGTGGGGGCAGACTCCCTGGGTTTCTGCTACCTGCACACCAAGGACCAGCCACAGCAAAAGCAGCAAAAGCAGCAGCAGCAGGATGGGCTGATGGACATCAACGAGAATCGGGTCTCCGGGGAGGAAGGCCGGCCTCGCACGAAATCGGACCCCACTTTTAACAGCTCGGAGTCCATAGCAGGTCTAGACACCCCTTCCCCAAACATCCCGGGGGTCCGGGCCAGGGCATACACCATGGACCCCACTCGGCGCCTCGAGAGATTCTTCTGCGACTCCTGCAAGGCCAAGCTGAAGGCCGAGGCGGCGGCGGGCGCAGGCAGGGG